TAGGTTTTCTTTCTGCCTCTGGGGACCTTAACAATCTCATCGAGAAGGGCTGGCCAGGGAGACTGTTCTATCCTGGCTACCAGCCTGAGATGCTCCCCTAAACCCTCTGCCAGCCTGTTCCACCTTGGCCCCCGTCTCTTCCTGCACCTGGCAGTCTGACTCCAGGGCCAAGACGAGGACCAGGCAGGGCAGGCTGGCTGGGGGGACCAACAGCGGAGGTGGAGGGGGGTGCGCCTGCCTATGTCTAGGCATCCTGGAGCACACCTGTACTGAGCTGACTTTTTTTTTCCCCTTAAAATTAAAAAAACTTATTGAAGTATAGTTGACTTCTAATGTTGTCTTAGTTTCTGGGTACAACATAGTGATTCAGTTAGACAAATATATATTCTTTTTCAGATTCTTTTCCATTATAGGTTATTAAAAGATATTGAATGTAGCTCCTCGTGTTATACATTAGAACCTTGTTGTTTATCTATTTTATTTTATTTTTAAAAAAATTGTATTCAAGTGTAGTCAATTTACAATGTTAGATTCAGGTGTACAGGAAAGGGATCCAGTTATCCATATACATATATACATATATTTTTTTCTTACTGAGGATTTCCAAGGCCTAAGGGTAGGTTCGGGGGTTGAGGGCTGCCAGACAGAGAGGCCCCAGGTAGTGAGTGTCCTAAGGCTGGCAGAGGACCTGAGCCAATCTGTCAGAGGTGGTGGCCTCACAGTCCTCTGTGCCCATCCCCTGGCCTGCCAGAGCCCACTTGGATCCATCTGACTGAAGCCCTGGAAGGCTCTAGTTTGCTTTCCAGCCTGCCAGGTGCCTCCCCAGTGACCCCAGGCCCCTGCATGCAGCTCCTTGGGCGGCCCTAGGCCAGGGGTGTGTGTAAAGCCCCCTGTGGTAAACAGGAGAGATGTTCTCACTCAGCATTTCGTGTCCATGGGCATCAGTCGAGGCACCCTGCCTGGCTGCTGTGGGTGCCAAAGGAATCAGAAAGGGCTGATGTGGCTGTGGCTGATCACGAGAGATTCAGAGATGAAGAGTGCTCCTCCGACTGGAGGAACAGAGAAGGCTTCCTGGAAGAAGGGGTCTGTGTGCTTCTCTTCAGGAACAGTTAGGAGTGGGGCATGTGCAGTTATGGAAGGCTGCCCAGGCATTCTAAGCAGAGGGAGCAGGCGTGCTGGTGAGGAGGACTGTCTCCAAACCCAGAGTTAATCATTTTGGTTGGAATGGAGGGAATGCAGATGGTGATATGGTTAGTAGTGGTCCATGGCTGGAATGCCAGGCTTGGGATTTTGACTGTGTTCCGAAGGCAGTGTGGAGCTGGTGAAGGCCGCAGGGCCCACCAGTCACACCGCAGCCTGTGCAGATGGCTGTGCACGGCACAGTTCTTGAGGGTGTCATCACACAGACCGCAGTGTCAGCAGGGCCCCTCATGTCGTGCGGTGCAGCAGCCCTGCTGCAAGGTGGCGTGGTCAGGGCTGCCCTGAGCAATAGTGATCTGGCCACAGGATGGAATGCCGACTAGGTGGGAGGCAACACGAACAGTTTCAAGACCAGCCACCTGATTGGTGTTCTGTCATCATCCAATCAACGGAGATGTTCATTTTCCATTCTTTTAGCTAATAAAAATAGCATCATCACCCCAATAATGGCAAGCAACCCCCCACCAATCACAACACCCCCACCATCATCACCAACAGTTCTGACCTGAGTCCAGCAATCACAAACCTCCGGGCCCAGTATCACCAGTACCATCTCTATCTTTTCTGTATATGATATCATCCCCATCGATAAGAGCATCAGTCAAGGGCCACAACAGAGCAGGGCACAGGGCTGGCCCACCGCACCCTGATGCCAGCTGGGTCGAGGGGAGAGATGGGCTGAAAAGGGGACTGGAGCCGGGCTGTGTTTCTCCTCTGGCCACACCCACTCCATGAAGTCACCAGCAGTTGATACAGTTGGGTTGGTTTGGTTTTTGCTTAGATATTTAAGGTGAATTATGACCAAAGCAGGAGGTGGCTCATAGAATCCTAGACCAGGCTGGGGTGATACCATGGGCACTGTCTTTAGGACTGAAGCCAAGGCCTGATAAGTTTTCTGCAGTGCTTGCTTTCTGAAATCCCCTCCTTGAGGTCTCTGGGGGCTTAGGGAACTTCGGGCCCCAGGACAAGAAACCAGGATCCTCAGGGGGCTCTTCATTGCTGCCCCTACCTCCCCTAGGCCCTGGCTGCTTGGTGTCTGCAGACTGATCCTAGATAAGATGCCACCGAGCCAGAACCCCGAGCAGCAGGCTCACATGCATGCCTTCTGTCCTGCCCTGTGATAGATGACGAGTTTTCCTGGGGCCATGTCTGGCTCCAGCTTCACCCCCGAGAATCCAGGGTTCATGTGGAGCCATGCCTGGGGTGAGCAGCAGGTAAGCTAGCCTGATAGGGAATTGGAGCACAGGGGACAGACAAAGCCAGTCTCCTATTTGCCCTGCAGAGTACTTTCCCCAGGCTGGGTATTTGCATCATTGCTGTTCCGTGTAGGGTCCTCAGTTCCCAAAAGCCCATGAGAAGCATGTGGCAGGCTCAGGGAGGAAACAGATAAAGGAGATGGGTGTCCTATGGTAGCCGAGGCCTTCTCAGACCATACCTGCTCACGTCGTGGGGGTCTGAGCAGCCAGCTCAGCGGTCTGTTGTCGGGGCCTGCAGCTACCTCCCAGGCATGGCTTCCAGAAGCCAGGTTCGTTCATGAAGGGTGGGCAAGCAGTCTCAGGGAAGGGCCGGGGCTGGGTACTGCCACAGGCCTGAGAGCTGCCCTCCTCTCTGAACCACCAAGCTGGGAAAGGGCTGGACAGGGTGTGGCCACTGCCCTTGTCCATCCTGGATGCTTCCTAGGCAGTCACGGAGAAGAGTGGTGCTCCCTCTTGTGGGACAGTCAACCCACAGCCTGGCCTCTTTTCCAGCTCTCTTCTTCCCTGACCCTCTCATGCTATTTCATGCCTTTCTCTACCTTACATCTCACTGGATGGAGGAGAGCACGTTGTGTTGCTTTGGTAAATAGCTCACATGATGCTTTTGGTAACTAGGCAGTCCTATCTGGGAGAGACCTCCGTAGCACCTTGCTACTCAAAGTGTGGTCCATGGACCAGCAGCATCAGCATCACCTGAGAGCTTGTTAGAATGGCAGACTCTCAGCCCTGCCCCACACCTGCTGAACCAGAAGCTGCACTTTAACAAGATGCCTGGGCAATTTGCCTGCATATTAAAGTCTGAGAAGTGTTGCAGTGGTTAGGGATCATACCCATCTCTGCTGTTTGGCAGCAGTGTGAAGTTTTAGCAGAGATTCAAATCTTTCTGGACCTCAGGTTCCTCATCTGTAAAATGAGGATCTTGATACCAATCGTCCAGCGAGGCTGAAAGGATCAAATGCAATAATGAAGTACCACTTAGACAGCTGTTGAGTGCAAGCCTGGCATATGGTAAGCACTCATGGAAGGAAGATTACTGTTCTAAGTTTTTTCATGTAAGAACAGTGCCTTTTGTTGGAGAAAGATTCTACTTGACTCATCTCAAGAAGAAGGTTCTTTCTTCCTTAATGAGGGGCCACTTGGGGTACTGGGGAAGACTTCATAATCCACATGCCTCAGTCACATGCTGCTGTCTCTACCGATAAGTTCTGGGAGCTCAAGCAATTGAACTCTCTTATCTCTATTCCTTTGCCTATTAAAAAGCATCAACAGTACCTACCTCAGAGGGCCTTGTGATTAAAGACATATGCCTGGCACATAGTAGGAGGTCAGTAAATAAATTTCATAGCATGAGGAAAGTCATTCTCCCCTTAAAGGGGTTGCAGTGTCTTGTTGTTATTATCGCGAGTACAAATCTCAGTCCAACAACCCAAATGAGCAAATAATGTACATTTCTTTGCTTTCCTGTAATTTAATCGTTATTCTCTGCCTCATTTTACAGATGCCAGAAATCTAACCCCATCGACCCCAGGCTCTGATGCCCCTCTCTTGCCTGGAGTGGTTTTGGGGAAGAGGGGCATATAGAATGCCAAGGCGGGTGGGGTGGGGAGTCTGGGCACCTGGTCCTTGATCACAGTCAACCTGTGCTGGCATCTACTGGGGTATCCCCATCCTGTCTGGTCACACTGGTCCATATTGGCAGAGCAGTCACCTCGCTGTTCCCAATTAGAGACTTTCAGATGTGCAGGTGCTGAAGGCTATGTCCGTGTCACTGTCAGGTGTGTGGGAAACCCTCTGCAGCCCCCAGGCCACAGGATGGCCTACAGATCTTTGAGCTGCCTCAGGTCTGCCTGCCCCTTCACCATGAACATGGATGGGGCATAGGGGACCCTGGAGTCCTGCCGCTTCCTCCTCTACTCTTGAATCCCCCATGCCACGTTGCCCCCTCTTTGGTCCAGATAACCTTGATCTGCCTGGCATGGTAGATTTCACCCATCTTCCAAGTGTACCATCTGTGCCTTGAGTCCTTTGCAGCCTTAAAGGCTCTCACAACTCCAGAGCTTAAGCCCTTGACAACAAAATATCTTACTTCTGCTTTTTCCATTGTATCATGCCTTCTCAAAGACAGTGCATGCCCCAGACTAAATGGGGAAGGGTGAAAGAAAGGAAAACAGGATGGGGGAGAAACCTTGGTGGATAATTCAGTCTATTTTTTGACCACACTGTGTTTTTATAATGCACATTGAGAAAGACAAATTAGGAAATACACAAAAATGGGTGGGACGAGGGCAGTGGGGGAATCTCACGAGGCTTGAGAATATTTTTGATGTGACTTGTGATCCTCTCTGTGGTCTGAGCCTTTCCTTCTTGGGCTCCAAGGGTAGAGGTTGGTGCTCTTTGCCGGAGCCTGGGGACAGGCCTTCTGGAAGATCCTGCTCTGTTTGCAGTAAGGCTGGTACCTTCCACCCAGCCCGCCTCTGCTGCAGCCACCGCCCCGCTGCGAAGGGGCGCCCTTGACCTGTTATCTTTCTCGGTCCGCCTCGTCAGCACCCCTATTGAGCATGCTCCAGTGTGCACCAGCCAGGCCGCCACCCCGCTGACCGCTTCTGCCCAGCCGCCTGCTGCTGCCTCTCCCAGCACAGCCTCGCCACCCCTGGCCACAGCCGCTGCCCATGCTGCCACCGCCTCTGTCACAGCCCCTGCCTCAAGCCGTGCGGACAGTCCAAGGTAACTGGCCCACAGGTGCCCGCCCTGACGGCGGGGAAGGGAGGCAGGAGAGGCCTCCCCGGGCCCATCTGTCAGCAGCTGTGTCCGGCCCTCAGAATGGCCCGTGCAAGGTGATTAGGGCCCCAGGGCCCTGAGAAAGCACTGCTTGGTGCTGAGCATGAAAGGGAAGCGGGGTGGGGGTGGGGGAGTGCATTTCAGGGAAATACACAGTGTGATTGAGGACAGAGGCAGAGGTGTCACCCTGCCCCTGGGGCACATGCTCTAGGCAAAGGGGTAAAGCCCCCCCCCCACACACACACACAAACACACAAAGTTAGGTAACAAAAGGAGGCTGTGTGGGAAGCCTGTGTTCCGGGAGCTGGGACTGCAGGAAAGGAAATCAAGGAAGCCTCTATGAAGGAGGGAGTGTTGACCTGGGCACTGAAGGTAGGTCAGATTTAGTCAGATATTTAGCAACTACCTTGCCCTCGTCCCTTACTCTCTCCTCTCTCTCTCTCTTTTTTTTAATAAACATTTAAGAAAACTTTGGGGGGGGTGTGTAATTAGGTATATTTATTTTTTTGATGGCAGTACTGGGGATTGAACCCAGGACCTCATGCATGCTATGCACACACTCTACCACTGAGCTATAGCCCCCCAACCCCCTTCTCCTGATGGAGAAGCATGCTACCTCCAGAGGCACCTGGTGGAGTGGGATTGACATCCCCACTCTACCACTTACTGTCTATAACCTTCAGAAAGTGACTTCATTCCTCTGAATCTCAGTTTCCTCACCTGTTAAGATGGTGAATGCAATGACTCTTTTATAGGGTCGGGATAGAAAAAGTGTACCTAAAACACGTAGCACATAAAATGCTCTCAAGTACTGCAAGTCACTGCATTCCTGCCTGCCCTCCTGGATACTCAGCAAAGGCAGGGGAGGTGGTGTTGAAAAGGGTGCGGGGAGGTGCGGGGAGGCAGAGGGGATGGGCTGGACAGGTCATTCTGGAGCAGCCAGGTGGTGTAACAGGCCAGGCAGGCCCAGCTGCCAAGTTGGTGTTCAGGGTCAGAGCCAGCTTTCCCAGTCTCCCACACTCCCTTCCCAGGGTTTTGCTGGAGAGGACACACCTCTGGGTCGGGTCGCATAGTTCCCTGGGGCAGCCTGAGGCAGAGGAAGGGTGAACAGAGTGGCCTGTGTGCCTCGCACCTACCCCCGGGCTTCACAGTGACCCAGGTGGTGCCAGGCCCAGCCTTTCCCCAGCTCAACTCAACCACCAAGGGTGAGCCCGGCCATGGCTTCCAGGGGTCGTCACATCCCCCTTCCTGGGGACATTTAGCAAGCCGCTTCCCTTCTGCACACCAGAATCCCTTCAGGTAAGGGCCTTGCTCCCGGCACAACAAAGAAACTTTTGAGGGGGGTAAGAAATGTCCCTGTTGTCCAGTGGGAAGATACCTCCCTGGTTTGAAGTGGGGGCTTGAGAGGATGGGGTCCCCGTGGATGGTCTTGCCTCATCCCCAGGGCCCCAGTCCAGCTCCAGCACCATGCTCCAGGCCTCCATGTCCTGGGACCCCCAGGGCTCCCTCAGCAGGGCAAACCCTTCCTTTGCTTCACCTTACAAAGAGGTGTGAGGCCTGAATGGAGGTCGGAGAAGGGCCTGGAGGGCTCCCAGCATCAGGCTAGAGCAGAAGGAGTCAGGGGACCACACTCTGGGCCCAGCCACCTTCCCTCCATGCACACGAGCTGGGATGGAGCTGGAGGGAGCCAGTGGGAGGTAAATGGACACTGAGCATGTGGCCCCAGAATCCTTGATGGATATCTTAAGCCTCTGCTTGTTCCCCCAGCACCAATCCCTGACACAGGACCCGTGGCTCCTGGGATACTGGGAGAGCATCCTCCACTGGTGGGAGAGTCTGACTAAGACCCACTGACCCCTGGCCTTCTCCCACCACAGTGGAAGCTGGGCATCCCTTGGACACAGCCTCTTTCTCTTCCACGAAGGCTCCTGCTCCATTGGTCTTAACAGAGGCATATCAGAGAAGGGCAGGCAGGCCCAGGGAAGGGAGACAATGTCCTCACTCATCCAGAAACAAGGCAACTTGGCAGGGCAAGTCTGCACACCGCCCCCAGTTCTGGGACACTGGCTCTTGGAGGCTCATTCTACCTCTAATTGACTGAGGCAGCACCACAGGCCCCTCAGGATCCTCTTAGGAGCCTGGCAGTGGGTTCTTAGCTCAGGCCACCCCCTCCCAGAGCCCTAGAGAGGAACAGACTCCCTTATCCTCTGACTCTGCCCAGCAGAGATGGGCAGGACCTGAGCCTGTGAGCAACAGGTGGAAGGAAGGCAGGAAGCCATGGGCTGCCAGGGGCTCACTTCTCCAGCACTCCCATCAATGCCCCATTTGCTCTGGGTGTGGCCGTGTCGCCCCCATTTGGATCTGAAAGATGCAGGGAGAAACCAGGGACATGTTCTGTAAAGTATTTGTTAGCTTTTTTTTTTTTCAGTTTTATTAGGTAGAATTGTTACAATTTGACTGCACATATACAATATATTGCATGTAAATATGTATATATATATATATATATATATACGATACACTGTGCTTTTTTTTACTTTACATATATGTACTGATCATTGTTTCTAAGAACAGTTAAAGAGCTTTAGCTTTTTAAACTTACATAGTTATCAAAGGAATAAAGCCAACCACAAAATAAGAATCAACAGGATATTCATTAGTTTTAAATGAAAAAAAAGCAAAGGGGTTTCACAGACAAATGGAATTGGGAAGCACTGGATCTGCTTAACTGCAGGAGTTCTTTGAGCATTCAGCCGTCTAAGAGGAGACGCCAAGCACAGCATTTCCTGAGGCCATGAACTGGGACATTTTTTCCCATCTCTTTGGTCCCATGGTCTCTGGGTCGCAAGTGGGAAAAGGGCTGCTTTAGGCCTCTTGGCAGCTAACCCAGTGGGAGGAAGGCAATAGGAATTCTACAGGGAAGAGAAGTCTGCGCGGAGGGGCGGTTGATGGGGCGGGGGTGGGGGAACCCTGGCTTCCCATGACCCCGCCCTGGAGGACTCTTGCCCCAAACCTGAGACTGCGCAGCTCCCTCCAGCAACAATAGAGAGGGTGGGGAGGGGCCAGGTGGTCTGAGACTGTGAGGTGCTCCTGAAAGGTCAGGAGGTAGAGGGAGTAGGGTAGCTCAGATCATCTCCATCTCTCCTCTCTCCTGCCTCTGCCTCCTGAGCCCCGCGGTGGGGGGGGGGCTCTCCCCAGGGGGTAAAGGGTTTTCCAGGCATCCTCCTGGCTGGCCGGTGGCTTTCCTCCTTCTGTCCTAAGGCGGTGGCACCAGCAGTGGGCAGTATTTCTCAAGTTGTCTCTGCTGCTCTAACCAGACTCAGCAAGACTCAGCACCTAAAGAGCAGCTTCCTCCCCTCTAAGACCTCCTTGGTCTCCCCTTCACAGCCTCCAGGAGCTCCTCCAGGGACATCTTTGTCAGGTTTCCTCCTTCTAAAAGTTCCTTAAAGATCGGGCCAACTTGCTCCAGGCCCCAGGGCCCAGGTAGGGCTGTCCTTCTTGCTGCTAACTCTAACTCTTTCCCCCTTGGTTCCAGGCCCCAGGCTTCTCCAGCGTCTGCTGCCCATACGTACAGTGAGGCCCCAGCTGCCCCTGCACCCAAGCCCCGGGTTGTCACTACTGCCAGCATCCGGCCTTCTGTCTACCAGCCAGGTGAGAGGCAGAGGGAGGGGAGGCTGTTTAGGCTGGGCGCGGGCTCCAGGGGTCAGCTGCAAGGCCACATCCCCTGAAGGATGGTGGTTAATGAGGCTGTGTTAATGACGTTCAGCCCTCCTTCCTCCAGCTGTGGGTCAGAATCCCATGGAAGCTGTCTCTGGCCCTGGGGAAACAGGTGGGCAGTGCCAGGCAAGGATGGAGCCTCCCAGCTTCCAGGAAGAGGGCATTCCTCCTGGGGATTTCCAAGTTCCTAGTGAGGAAGAGAGGGTTTAAAGTGGAGGGGCTTGTTCCTCCAGGAGTTTGGATCTGGTTCAAGCCAGAGGACAGACAGCTATAGCAAAAATGCCACGGGCTTTGGACAGATCTACTGCATCATGTTGTGACGCTGAGCAAGCTGCTCACCTGTCTGGTCTTCGGTTTCCTCGGCTGAGGCTAACTAGAGGCATGGAGAGCATGTGACAAGTAAAAGAGGGGCCTGCACAGGGGCTGCCGGTGGCTGGGCTCACTGGCTGTCTCTTCCATTTCTCTAGACCCCATTCTCATCATGCCCAGGGTCCCCTTTTCCCTAGGCAGAGTTGGGTCTCTCCCCAGAGCTCAAAGGCAATTCTCAGGCTGGTGTACACCCCACCTTCTCCCAGATGTCCCTGCTCAGTGAACCTCAGTGAAGCTAAGACAGGGATTGAGGCAGGAAGGCCTTTGCTCTGGGGAGCTGACTTGATGTATAGGGCAGCCCTCTGTTTTATAAAACTCTGACAGTAGCGTTGAGTGTGGGTGGAAGAACTGGCTTTAACATCAGACTCCCGTGCCAGGGCCCATTCTGCTATCTAAGGCAAAGAACTTCATCTCCTGGGCCTGAACTTCCTCATTTGAAAAATAGGCGTGATGCTGTGTACACCTGGTGCTCTGGGGATGAAATGAAGCATCCAGCAGAGTGCTTGGCACACAGGAGGTGCCCTTCTCTGTCCCTTCAGAGGCGGGGACACAAGTTCTGAGACTAAAAATCGGCAGGATTAGGGGGCAATTTGCAGCAGTCTGCAATAGTGAAAAATCTTATATGGAGCTAGAGGAAGCTGCCCTGCGGGGATAAGGAACACAGGGAGGGTGGAAAGGAGTCTGGATGAGTAGCGGCGGGTGGAGTGAGGCTCTATGGGGGCGCAGGGAGGGCATTTCCGCGCCTACACGGGCTCT